ATATTATTTGTGTGATTAGCTTCATAATTAAAAGGGACACTTGATAGGTCATTCCTTCTTTTCCATATGATCATGGGGGTTTAAAAGTTGTGGAGATATTAACCTTTCAATATCACTACCGAGATGAGGCACTGAGCAAATTTGCTTTAATTTATTTTTGATTTTATCTTTCAACTTTTTCTTGTCCGGCATAATAGCCTGAATTCTCGGAAGTTCACTGCCTTTTGACTTTGTAGCTATAAAGTACTTGGCATCATCTTAGATTTTGATTTCGTGCACCAAGAATGGTTGTTCGTCCCCATCAATGTGATACTCTTCATTATCTCGAATGTATTTCATACATTGATGAAGTGTTGAAGGCATTATACCTTACTCGCGGAGCCATGGTCTTTCGAGAAGTGCCTTGTATGATGTGTTGGAATCAATGATGTGAAATATCGCCTCTGTATTAAGTTCCCCAAAGTTCAGAGGCAAGACCAAAGATACCAGAGTTCTTTGCCCTTGTTCGTTGAATCCATGTAGAAACACTGTGCTTCTGTTCAAATACTAAACGTCCAGGGTCAATCCTTTGAGCGTGTTGAGGCTCATTAGATTAACAAAGGAACCTGGATCGATCAAAATTCTATTTATTTCAATGTTATTACTCTCTGCATTAACATATAGTGGTCGATTATGATCTGCAATTCCCATGAGTAGATCATTATCATAGAAAGTGATTGTAGCAGTATTCTGCATATTCAAAGTTTCTTTCAAATTTTGCTCGGCAAAGAATGCCTCATACTGTTTAGGATTTTGCAAAGCTTTAATGAGTGTTTCCTGAAGGTTTTTAGACATGATAAGGGCGTCATAAACACTCAGTGGTGCAGGTAATTTGCGGAGATGAGGTAATATGTTGTAATCCACATTTGCACTAGCAACCTTGGGTTTAAAAGGCTCTTGTGGAATAACAGCTTCGTTTAGCTGAATGTTCTTCTCTTTATCCTTTGTTTTCTTTTGAGATGGAGGAACCTGCTTTCCTCTTCTTAGCTGGATTTGTGTCAAAACAATAACAAGCATATATATCGGAATTTGTAGATCTCTAATTAATTAATTGATGTAGGCAATGGGGGTCAAAACAAGTTGGGTTTTAATTTTTGTAAGTTTCTACTAAAGTCAGCTTTAATTTTTGTAAGTTTCTACTAAAGTCAACTCATTAATGAGATTCTTCTACTTATTCAACTCATAAAGTGTCATTATTTGATTTAATCTCCCTAGCCTTGGCTCTTTGGTTTTCCCCTCCTTGGCTCTTCTCCCCATGACTGCCTTTTCCTTTTCCCCTCTTTGTGACTCGGTTTCTTCCAGTGATGTTTCCCGTGGCTGCTCTTTCTCCCTTGCTGGCTGATGGTTCCAGTCCCCTTTGTGCCCCTTCGAGTCCCTGCCAGGCTGTTGGTCTAGTTCCTGTGCAGCCTCTTCAGTTTCCTCCCTGGTTGTTGTCCCGTGGGCTGCTTTTACCTGATTTTCTGTGGCCTTTTCAGGTGCTGTTCTAGCTCCCTTTGGTTGCTATTTTGGTTCCTCCTTGGCTGGCTTTTTGGGTTTCTATATGACTATTTGGGTGTTGTGCTGGACTGAATATTTGGCCTACTATTTCATGCTTTTAATTGGTTTAAATGGGGGTTATGGTGGATGTTTAGCTGCCCTCTTTCCCTCTATAGATAAAAGGTTTTTTGTATGAATAAAAAGGTTGTTATAATGTGATTTTTAGAGCCTAAACATGCGGGTTTCTTCGTGGAAAAGCTTGCGAGCTTGTTCCATCTCTTCTCCTTCTTCTAGGAAAGCTTGCGAGCTTCTCCTCCCTTAAGTCTTGGATTTCTTATCTCATTCTTCTCTCCGCAAGTGTCCACCCCACCTGTACTTTTCTTCTCAACAATTGGCAAGCAGGTTTAGGAGTTTATATTTTAAAAGCTTGTAAGTGTCCTTTTATATTATAAAAAGTGTCTTTTTGAGTATTTTATGTAATTTTCTACTTATCTAGGAAACTTTCTTTGTTATTGAGAGCCTAATTTATGCTTGCATCATTAATAATTTTTTTATCATGTCCTTCTTATCAAGAGAACATTCTTCGATATTCGAATTCAGATGAACCATAGGACGATATCCAGAACAAATCTTGATTAATAGCTTTCAATATACTCAATTCTTGCAGTTTTGTTAGTGTTTGCCAAAGGAGTTGTGGCGGACGTTGGATCAAAGTTGCTGTGGTGGACCACTAGTTTATATGTCCTTGAGCATTCTATTTACCTAATTTATCGTTACAAGTGAGGTGACCACTAATTGGTTGTTTTTAGGGTATTTTCTTTGTAGTTTTCTTTCTTTTAAAAAAATAATTTTAGTTTGTTTCATGTTTATTTCATTTGCTTACTAAAGTTTTGGATTAAGTCGTGTCCTACTTTCTTTTGTGTTCTCCATTAGGTTTAGATCTTTCTAGTTCCCATTAGTATTCCAATTGAGGCTTGTCGAGTCATAAATAAACTAGGTGGAAGAGCTGCAAGAGGACGCAATGCACCTCTTGCTATCTATAAAGCTGATGTGAAAATGTCTTATAAGGAAGGACATCACACACCAACACCTTTTACTGATTCGAATGAAGAATTATATTTTTCCGATGAAGAAAGTGATCATAAGGGTAAGAATTACAATCTGGTTAATAACAATCACAGTTCAAAATGACCTCCTGCGTGCATTTGTAGGATGCAGAGGTTCTCATTCAAGTATGTCATATAACATTACAATTGCATCTTAAAATGATCTCCTGCATGTATTGTTAGAATGCAGAAGACTTTATTCAAGCATGTCATTTGATAGTGCAATCATAATTTAAAATGACCTCTTGCATACATTAGCAGGATGCAGATGATTTCATTCAAACATGTCATTTGACATTGCAATTACACTCCCAAATATCCTTCTATATGCATTTGCAATATGTAGAGAGTTTCATTCCAGTAATATCATGCATGCATATAACAATCATATAAATCCATCGTGTAAAATGCATTCAACAATATATACTCCTATGGGCCCCGACGAGCGTGACATGGGTACACACGTGACATCTGAATATGTTGCGCGGGTTAAGAAATAAATTCAGATACGAACCCAATCCTCTATCAGTAAATTGATAGAGTCAACAAGGTTCAATAAAAAAAATATAACAGCCTATATAAATCACGATGATGATCGTGTTGAATGTTTATCTTAACCGGAGGGGATCCTATACTTTTTAATGCTTTCAAGCTTCAACAAAATACAAATCTTTTAAAGTGACTACAACATTACTCCAATAATGGCTGTATTGAATATTTATCTCAACCGAAGGGGATCCTATACATTCTGATGCTTTCAAACTTCAACAAAATACAAAACTTTTAAAGTAGGACTACAACATTATCCCAATGATGGTCATGTTGAATGTTTATCTCAACCGAAGGGGACCATAAATATTTAAAATGCCTCCTAAATGCCCATAAAAATTCAAAGTCTCAAAAATGTTAGAACCTAAGATGTTTCAAATTAAAATTAATCATCAAGCATTTAAAACAAAATTCATCCATCTTCCACGACAATTTGTCTAGGTGAAAAAATTAAAACTACTTATGGCACGTGTCCTCTAACTGGCGGTTTCGCCTCTTAAATGGCACCACACCGACGGTTTCACCGCTAAATGGCATCATAGGTATACAATTTCACCGGTGGTTTTGCTGTCAAATGGCATCATTATATTATGGTAATGATCGTAGCCCGTATGTTCCCCAACTGTGTTAAATCATTGAGCAATGAATCAATATGATATGATTGATAAGGCACAAAGCCCTCTATTAGCTCACGTGGATTCAAATTTATCCCCTTAAACAAATACTCACCCCAAGTTTACAAGTTACACTTAGACAAAGCAACTCATGGCTGCCGAAAAGGATCTTTTTGTCAGGTTGGGTTGACTACCTCCTCTGACTAAGTAGACTTGGGACCACGATGGCCCGAAAAGACGGAACCATGGGACTTGATCAGGCTCATCATCATTGAGCAATGAATTAATATGATATGATCGATATGGCATAAAGCCCTCTATTAGCAAAAATGGATTCAAATTTATCCCCTTAAACAAATATTCACCTCATATCTACAAGTTACCCTTGAACGAAGAAACTTATGGTTGCCGACAAGGATCCTCCTGTCAGGTTGGGTCGACTACCTCATTTGACTAAGTAGACAAGGGATCACGATGGCCCGAGATGACGGAACCATGGGATCTTAATCAGGCTCATCATCATTCCCCTCCCCCCACATAATTTAAAATCATTCAAAGTAAACTAAAATGAGTGAGTAGTACAAATCACAATGTATTCAAGAAATTTTCTTTTAGAGAAATGCATAATAGATAAACTTCATAAAAGCTTGGGCTCAACCCAAATGTAGCAAGTCAAAATAATGATTAGTACATACGGGGATCAGGGATTCAATTCATAGAAAGGTTAAACCTGATTTTAATAAAATTATAGCAGTTTTCTAAACAAATAAAAAGGTTAAAAGCCTAAAATTCTCATCAGACCAATCAATATAATCATCCTTAGCTTCTTGGAGGTTGGAAAAAAAACTTTTCATATCTAAAACAAAGTTCATTTCCAGAATTTCTTTAGGACCACATTTTACATCACATATGCAGACTGATCGATGTAATCACACCCAACTTCTTGGGACAAAAACTATTCATATCTAACACAAAGTTCATTTCCAGAATTTCTTCAGGAACATATTTTGCATTACATATCCAGTTATTTCTAGAAACAAATAACTAATTAGGCACCCCAGAAGTCACTTAGAAAAATTCACAAAAATAAGTATTTCAGTCAGAGACACCATTTCAATATGCAGACAGGTAAAGGATTGGCTTGAAAGTAGGCAGATGAGAAAAAACAATGAGCTTGAAAGTGAACACATGAGAAAAAACAGTGAAAAGCACATACCCCGTAATACTCAGAGCTGGTTGGCAAAATAATTACAGAGTTTATAAGTATGTCTACTCCAGGAGTAGGTCCTTCCAAATAAAAGATGGCACGACTTGGCAAGCTTGTCAATGTAAAAGATCCTTCCAGCTTCTCCCAGCTTTCTTTGGTGACTGATTTTCTATTACAAGCATTCATTGCAATCAGAATTTCCAAACCAATCAATTATTTCAAAGCAACAATCTCCAAATTATACCTTCCAGCACATAAATAGCTAGAATCAGAATCTGAATTCTCTAATCTAAGTGTTGCTTGCACTCCACAGGACCCCTGTAGATTCCCATGCACACGAACAAAAACTGACACGTCATATTTAGTATCAAAGGAAAGTTTCCCAGTGATGTCCTGTTCCAAACCTTGCCAGCACTCCGTACGATTTGTGATGACAATGTAACTCTCTCCTGAGTAAGCAACAACTCCATTGGGGCCATCGAGGAGACTAGATTCTTTAGAAGCCACATAAACATGACAACAATTGGCATGCCAAGAACGGAGCCCTTCAGAAAAGTCGTGATGGGAGATGATGTTGATTGTCTGGCTAACATTTGAATCAACTACTACCTCTCGTCTCTGCTAGAAAATAATAGCACAAAGCATTCAAATCCACTGATTAACTGCCTAAATCACTCAAAATGCATTTGGTTATCCAATCAAGAATGAATAATATGGACATTTCCAAACATTTACAACAAAAATATATCATTTTCGAACATATACAAAAAAAATATATCATTTTCGAAAAAGTTTAGATGCAAACTAAAAAGGCCACTGGCAATGCTAAAATCTCAAAAAAAGAAGGGGAAAAAAAAGCAGAGCCTTCTTTTCTCCCATCAATTTGGTTCAAAGTAGGATTTAGTAAATGTTGTAAATCCAAATTTAGTAAATCTTGGAAGCGTTCAATTATGAGAGCTATTTGTTATTATGATAAATGTTAAATTTGGTAAATCCTAGCAAGTAATTTGGTAGATAAATGGTAGATATTTTAGATTTAAGATTTAATTGAAGCAAAAGAAGAGGTTGAAGTTTGTTAATATCTTAAGTTTTAATTTTTCAGGCATCAACAAAATATGAGGTTTAGTCTACATGGGAGGAAAATGTAAAACCCGCAAAATACAGTTTTAGACCTCGCACGCTTTTCAAAGCGCCGCGACGAGTTTTAAGTGAAAAATTCGCGGTTGTCGGATTTTGACGGGAACATTTTTATAAAATAGAGCGCAAAATTTTGATCGTTTTGATATATAGAACCTATATTAAATTATGAGTATTTTAGGAATTATTAAATTCGAAAGATTAGAAATGCCAACTTTACCCCTAAGCTTTTAAAAGCTCGAATTTGCTTAAGTGAGGGCAATTAGGTCTTTTGGCCAATCCCATTTCTCCCTATTAGGCAAACCGAAACCTCCCCACTCTCCCCCATTCGGTCATTTCGCCCAAACCGAGCAGACAAACGAGAGGGAGCAGACGGACCGAGACGGGCTTCTTCAGGCGGCTCCGACGGTAGATTCCGGCGGCCAAACTTGGGGAAAATCGTAGGGGAGACTAAGAGAAAGCTAAGGTAAGTGTTTTGCAAGTGTTTCCCTTCCATTTTCATGAGTTTTCTCTAAAAGAATGAAATTAGGGTTTTAGGAAAACTTGAGTTTTCTTTAAGGTTCCTTTGAGAAAAGTTTAGGGAAGGGTTAGGGGAAATTTTTAAAGCCTAATGTGAGATGTTTTTGTGAAAATATGAATTTTTGTAAATTAGGGTTTTGCTAAAAAATTATTTCTTTGGAAATGTCTTTACAAAAGAGGTTTCTATTAACCTAAGAAAGCTTCTAAAGGAAAAATATTGAATGAATGACGAAAGTTTTGATTTTAAAAATTTAGGATTTTTTCCTAATTAAGGAATTTTTTTTAACTCTATGATTTTTATTGTTTGTTGGGAGGATTTTAGAGACTAATACATGGTTTTTGCTTGAAAAACAATATTTTCAAATTTTTTATTTAATAAATTCCAAAAATTGATTTTATTTTAATTATGTTTTGAGGGTAGGGAGAAGTGAAGCATGCCTAAAACCTATGACTTTTGGCTAAATCCTAATTTAAAGAGAAGGCGTTTGAGAGATATCACGAATTGGTGTGGAAGGTTTGAATTGAAACATAAACATGACATTAGAAAGAACCCTTCAATTACTTTAGAATTAGGGTTTGGGATATTGTATAGGGATTAGTTACTTATGCTTTTCTTTGTATGTCTCTTTTAGATATTAACCGTGTGGAGGGAAAGAATTTGATTGGACAAAGAAAAAGGTTCACGGATTGAGGTAGGTGGAATGGACTTTCTTATAAATTTAGACAACTCTTCTTTCATTGCAATTACATAGAAATGACAAATTCTTTTATGCTCATTATGAAACTCTTATGGCTCATGTTCCGTTGAAAGTTCATGGACACTTGAAGCAAATGCAAAGGTTCTCTTTATGCAAATGTACAATTCATGAATGGATCCGTTGCTAATTTCTCTACTCTTACTGTCTTTCTTCTTTACATGCAAAAGTACACATAAACATAGCAAGCATGCGTATCTCTAAGGAAACATACACTTGGTTAGTTTATGAATGGTTTACAAAAAACATCTCTTATGGTTATATAAGTAATAAGTGTATGTGCATGTTGACGCGGGAGTATCACATGATAAAGGAGGCTCATATGAGCCATGGTAAAGGAGGCTCAAATGAGCCATGGTAAAGGAGGCTCTTATGAGCCATGGTAAATGATGGTTCCTATGAACCAATGGTAAATGAAATGGCCAAATTTTTATGTACCTGATCAGTACAAGTGGTACTCCCAAGACGGATGTTATATTTACATATTAAACTATTATGAACATTACATATTCATGTTATATGCATTTGAGACTATCATGTGAGGCAAAATGTTAAAAGAAAAAATGGAAATATTATGAAGGGAATAAGAACTTGAAGATTGATGAAAAGGTATGCATATCTTTGAGCAAAAGTTGATATATGTTGAATCAATTGCACTATTTCCTTTACACCGCATGGTTATAATATCAAGGATCGGAGTACAAACCGTTTGATTCTTTCAGAACTGTGTCATAATGGTCTTTATCCTGTCGCCATGCCGTCCTCCATTTTCCCACCATCCAATTCAGCTTCAACCGCATTCATCTCCACATCCAATGCTTCACAACTACGGTAGTCTCGTCTGGGACATCTGCATAAAGTTGTTTTGTCTACCATAGCTAGTCTAGTTCCATCTCTTAGTATTTATATTTTTAATGATGTCTGTCATTCGTGTCAACTTGCTAAAAAGTCATAGACTACCCTTCTCTACTACTACTAAATGTACTCCTTTTGAGCTTGTCGTGTCTAATGTATGGGGTCCTTCCCCCATTTTATCTTTTAATGGAAACAAATATTATGTGTTATTTGTGGATAAATTTTCTCGTTTCTCCTGGAATTATGCAATGGTCACAAAATCTGAAACATTCTCCAAATTTGACTTATTGAAAGCTATGGTAGAAAAACAATTCTCTACACCCATTAAGATATTTCATTTTGATGGGGGTGGCGAATACTCTAGCTCGCAATTCCACAACTTTCTATCTAAAGCTGGAATAATCCATTAATTCAGCTGTCTTCATACACCCCAACAAAATGGTCTTGCAAAACATAAACACCATCACATTATTGAGACGGCTCGAACCCTTCTTATTCAAGCTCACTTACCTAATATATTTTGGGTTGAAGTTGTCCTTACTACCACATATCTCATCAATCGACATATGTCTTCCACTACACGATTCCTATCCCCCTATCACCTACTATATCAACATCCTCCATCTTACTCCCATTTAAAGGTATTTGGATGTTTGTGCTATCTATGGCTTCAACAATCAACTCCACATAAATTTGCTCCCAAGTCTACCTCTTGTGTATCATTGGATACAGTTCAACTCATAATGGGTACCGCTGTTATCACCTACATCAAAATAAAATTCTCATATCTCGTCATGTCTAGTTTCAAGAAAACATCATCCCATTCTTACTTCCTCTTCCACTTCCTCTACTTCACAAATTTCTTCCCAAACCCATATACACTCTCCATTAACTATCGTTCCTTATCCCTGCACCGAGTTCCAGCAATCATCTCCTTCAAAACCATCACCAGCTTTTTTTTAACCTAAACAAAAAACTAAAGACTAAAACGGAATTTTTTTTAACCTAAACAAAAAACTAATTGCCAAAACAGAGAAAAAGCTTTCAAATGAGACATCAGCTTTCCAAACTTCAAAAACCATCTAAACTGAAACTGCGCAACCCGCACATGCGTTACTAATCAAAACCTAATTTACAGCAAAAGCAAAAAGGCACATAGAACAATTTTTAAGAAACTAACAAAACAATGCCATTCAAGTATAGCAACTATTTTAAGCAACTCCAGCTCAAAATTAGTTCGTTTGTGGAGGATAAATGAGAGAGAATGTGAGGGAACTGACCGACCTTTCTGAATGAGAACCTGCCCTTCACAAGTCCCATCGCCCTTTCTCGTATCACCACCACTTCCTGGGTAGAAACGAAGAGACGAACAAGAGCTTTTTGTGCTGAGCGAGAGCTTCTGAGGCTGAACACAAAGACGAGCTTCGTGCACCGCGCGAGAGCTTCTGAAGCCGAACACATAGGCGACGAGATGATTTTCCTGCTCCACGCGAGAGCTTCTGAGGTCGAACAACCGAAGTATTAGGGCAAGGGATTGTCAAAAAGCCCAAAACCAAAACGCCCGAAGCAAATGCAGGTATAGATTTTTTTTTCGGAGGAGGCCCGTGCCCCCGTGGGACCCCGCCTGAATCCGCCGTTGGATGAGAGTCTTCTGTATAGTATCGAGGACCGATCTCGTAAGCTGGTATCGGCAATGAGCGCCGATCTCGTGAGCAGGTCTAGTTCCGCATTGAAGGCCAATATCCTGAGGAAGGAAGAATAAATAACTCAGAAAGCGAGATTAGGGTCTATAAATAGAGAATGCCGAGAATGCCGAGCGAAGTAACGGACTAAAAAAATAAAGGGATTTTTATATACATACCACTTTATAATATGAGTATTATATATTTAACATCTAAAATTTAAATATTTTATATATGTCACTCAAACACAATTTTTACCTCATAAATGCCACTCCGTTAACAGCCAACCGGACTCCGTTTTATCTTCATTCCTGCCTTGGCTTTCGACGGGAGAACTCGTTTCAGCAAAATCCTCCGTATTTACTCTTCCTCCTCCATATTTGCACTTTCACAGTAGCTGTTCCTCCATGCTATTTCTTCCACCGTAGCTGCTCTTCCATCCGGACATGCTTTTTTTATCCATCGTTTAAGGCTTTACTGAAACTTGTCAGTTTTCTACAATATTTATGGCTTTGCCAAAACTAACAGACCTAAGATAGGAAACTTGCAGCTTGTGTTGTAATTTTATTCAATAGATGAAACTTTTCGGCAAAGCCATAAATATTGGCTTTATTGAAGATGAAACTTTTCTTCAATAGATGAAGCTTTTCTGCAATAGATGAAACATTTTTCTATATTTATGGCTTTACTGAAACTTTTGTCATCTATAAATTATCTGGAGATAAAAAATGTATTTCTTTTATAAACTTTTGTCAGCTTTAAATTACTGAAGCTTCCAACTTTTCTTCAATAGATGAAACTTTTGTTATTCTTTTATATTTAGTTTTTTGGCACTAATTAACGATGTGGTGTTTATTTCAGGTTGTAGTTAATGAAAAATGACTACCTCATGGCATAATTCGGTAATGCAGGATTGTGACGAAGTAATAGATGATTTATGTGGAGATAGAAAAGAGAATTTGTTTATTGCATTTAAATATGGAGGAATTTGGGTTGACACAAAGGACCAATCTAGAAAGAGATATATTGGCGGCAAATAAAGAACTGTGAAACTTGAGAAAGGACATATGAATATTTTTTAAGATTAGATCAGAGATTGCTAGAATATGTCCTTGGTTGAAAGGACATCAATACAACATGCATTATCACATTAACAGAACATCACCCAAGGAGTACAAAGTAATCAATTACGATGCTGACGTGAGCTTGTTGGTAAACCAAACGAATGAAAGTTTACGTGCCGAAATAGTTATCTCACTATACAAAGGTGATGAAGATCAATCAAACTCACATGTTATAGGGATTGAAAGTTTTGAACAAAATATACAATGTTCCATTTCTCAAAATGATGGTGCTTCGAGATTTCAAAAATCAAGTGTTACAGATATCACTATATGTACATTTTTTAATGATGCTACAAGTTTCAAGAATGCTCTCCGATCGTTTTCCATTAAGGAGAACTTTGGGGTGAGGATAAAAGCTAGTGATAAGAAACGAGTTATTGCTTTCAGAGATATAACAACAAGGAAATATCATTTGGTTGTTCGTCAAGCTAGTAATTCCAAGGCTGAGGTGGAAGGACTGCACTCAAGACGCATCGTTGATTTTGAAAGAAAGGACTGCACTTATGGAGTATGGAAGCTAATAGGTTTTCCTTGCATTCATGTCGTTGCCTTCATTGGTATGAAAGAGCGCCCATTGTGGCATACTTATGTCGATGAGTTCTACTACGTAGCAAGGTATGAAATAACACCCTATTGTTCATTGTTTATTGGAAATTACTTGTATCTTACAACGATTGATTTTAAGGTAACATTTTCTTTAGATATAGATTTGCATATGATGGAGCAATTGCCGCATTACCTAGGAAGGACCAATGGCGAGTTGTAGAAAATTGTGAGCAAGTAGGTGTACCGAATACATGTAGACCAAGAGGTAGACCAAGGAAAAGAAGGCTCTTAAACTTCTTGGAGCAAGACAATAGATCACATAGATGTGGAAGATGTGGTCTTTGGGGACATCATCGAAGTACTTGCAAGAACCCTTTGAAAAATAAGAATAACAAGGAGATGTCGGACACGGACGTAGGACGACAACGACGGGAGAAGTTGCCAAGTAGAAGGGTGGTGGATGACGTTGAGCTGCAGAAGTTTGATTATTCATATCTGGATGGTTTCTAAAATGAAGATCCATCTCAAATGAATCATGTTTTGTTACTATGTTAACCATTAAAATATTTCTGTTATATTTTTGTGTTGTGAAAGGCACCTTTAACTTGGTTTTAATTTTGTTGTGAAGAACATTCTCAAATGAACCCTTTGTATTCACAAAAATATATTTATGTAACCTGCACTTTTAAGTTTTATCTTCTTTGTTATTTAATTCGGCACCTGTAGCTTTCTTGTAGTTTTATATTCTTTGTAATTTTGTTGTGAAAGTCAGGTAACCTGCAGCTTGTGTTGTAATTTTATTCGGCACCAGTAGCTTACTATGTATGTTTCGGCAAAGGCACCTTTAGCTCTGTTAGTTTATTTGAAACATGTAGCTTGTTTTCATTTTGGTCGGCAACGGCACTTTCAAGCTTGTTTTTAAAATTTTGGATATTTATACCAAATAAAAGCAACTATACGGCAACCATTCAGCAACCAACGCCCATACAAATTACAGATCTTTCATTTAAAAAACTTACAAAATGGTTCAATAGACTTCATCAAAAGATATTACAACTTCACAGCAACCATACGGATAGCTATGTCATAAACTATTGCAAGTACACACTTCTACATCATTTAGACTACTTCGAGATGACACATTAAACTAAATAAATACGGATAGCTATTACAAGAACAACACCAACAAAGACTTTCATCACCAAGAAGATCAAGTCAAGCTTCTTAGACATCCTAGCTTCAAAGCCTTCAACTTCAGTAGGTGTACCATAAGACGTCTCTTCTGTTGCAAATCTATTTTCATGACTTATGTTTTGATGATTGACAAACACTTTTGACTCTCTTGAACTGCCTGTTACTTCTAACTTTTCAGGAATCAAAGATCAGACGAACAACGAAGCTAGCTCAAGATTTGTAGGTTTAGGGTTGAGTCAGTCTGTACTTTGTTTTTTCTCTTCTTGAGTCTATTTGTATTGTTCAAAGAGACTGATGCTAAGTAACCCTACACACACACTTAAGAGACTTAGAATTTCTGTTTTTACTCATATCGGCCAGGACGATATTTACATCGTCTTGGACGATCAGCTTAAAATAGAAAATCTAAACAAGGATTCTTAATTAAGGCAGCCGTCATTAACAGATCGTCCTGGACGATACGTGCATCGGCCAGGATGATAAGCTCAAAACAGAAAGAAGTTGCCGCCATAAACAATTAAGGTATTCTGTAATTTTTGGTAATCGGCCAAGACGATCTTGGATCGGCCTAGACGATATTCACAATTATGCCTTAATTAATCAAACAAATCAAGGAACTAATTGAGGATGATTGATACGATCATATCGTCCTAGACGATCTCAGGATCAGCCAGGACGATCTATTCAAAAACCTTAGTTACTTCTGGACGATCTGGATCGGACAGCATGAATTCAGGGTGATGCTCTAGACAATTTTTCTCTGATTTGAACTGATCGGCCGGGACGATCGTGAGATTGGCCTGGACGATCAAGCCAATTTTAAATCGTTTAGTTTGCATTCAGGGTGATGCTCTGGCCGATCTTCTGAGATTTGTACTGATCGGCCAGGACGATGTCCATATCGGCCTGGACGATATTGTCGGCAACTTGCAATTAATGAGCTCCTTTGAAGCTCTTCTATTTAAGATCTCTTGTTCAACGTTTTGAAGAATCTTTTGCTGCTGCCTTGACCTGAGAAGACCTTGAGGAGAGAAAGAGAGAGAGGGAGAGAGAGAGAGGATCTTGTGAGGGGGAGCTTGTGAAGGGATTCACAAGGGTTGCTTCAAGGATCGCTCTGCTTCTTCTTCTTCTAGAGTTTCTTGTCCGTGGAAGGGTCGGTAGAGGTAAGGATTCAGCATCTGATTGTGGTTCTCTGCCAGCTTCAGGAGGAAGCAAAAGAGATAGGTTCTCTGCCTTGCTGTGGTGGCAAAAAGAGGTTCTTTATAAAAGCTTCTTCGCCTAGCTGTGGGGGCTAAAGGAGAGTCACGATTGTAGTGCAATACTCGGAGGGCGCCTCCGAGGAGTGGACATAGGTCGAGTTGACTGAACCACTATAAATCTCTGTGTTCTTATTTCTTGCTTCCGCACTTTAATTTTCGTACTTATTTTTTGTGGTGTGATTTTGGTTTATGTGATTTTAGTTCTTT